AGAGAGAGAGAGAGAGAGAGAGACATGGAATCCAAAGCAGGCTCCAGGCTCCGAGCTGTCAGCACAGAGCCTGATGCGGGGCACGAACTCAAGAATCGTGAGATCATGACCTAGGTCGAAGTCGGACGCTTAACCGACTGAGCCACCCAGGTGCCCCTGAAGATACTTTTAAAGATCTACTTCCCCCACCCGCCCCCCATCCTATCTTACCTGCTTTTCACAGAAAATGTGCCTTGAAGGGGAATTGAGAAGGGCCCCTGTTCTAAGTAGAAGAGGACGGTGCTGGGTGAGGGGACTTTTGGGGACCAGGCCTTTCCACATGGCCTTGAGGCGCCTTCTCCTGGAGGCAGCGGCCTCTGTTATTTTCCTCACACTTAAAGTGGCACATCTGGGTGTTCGCTGACCAATGGAGAAGTGAACGTATTGCAGCTCTGCCCTCAGGCCACTTCCGAGGAGTCTGAGGTGTCCGCAGGCCAGGGCCTGGGACACCCAATAAGTGCAAGCTCATTAGCACCTGGAGACCTGTGAGAATCAGCCAGGAAGCCACTTGGGCCTCAGGAAGTGAGGACTGACCGTAGAAATGCTTTGCAAACGTTTTGTTCTTTTTTAGGAGAATTCATCCAGAAGATCATTGCCCTACTCCAGGATGCGGAAGAGCAGGGGGGAGAGGTGAGGAAGACATTCCCCACGTAGATCTTGACCCTCACTATGAACACCCCCACCCCTGCTTGGCATAATAACTTCCTTGCCCTCCCCCATGCTACATCTTTCCAGAGCCTGGCTCCTGTCGCTCCTCCTTCCCCAAGCCCCCACCCCCACCCCCATCGCTGCCGGCCACTCTTGCTCTGGCCAGGCCGCACCCTCTGCTCCCCAACGGGTCCTTCCCCGGCTCACTCACAATCTCCTCACGGTCAGGGCCCTGGCTCAGTTTCTCTCATCTCCCCTGCAACAGCTTCGAGTCCAGGAACCAGAGGTGGCTGTAGAAAACCTGCCCCTACCCTACAGAAGGAGATCCCAAGAGAAGAAGTCCAGCCTCAGAAAAGCCTTTTCTTATAAGAGACATGGCCCCAAGGAGCCCAGGAGAGCGGGGGCCGCAGGTGCTGCCAGCCCGGAGTCCCGGCCGCCCAAGAGGTCCAGCTTTCTGCCCCTGTGTGTGGGGGGCCATCAGCCCTCCACCTCCAACAGCCCCGGTAAGCAGGCCCCGCGTGGCCATGGTCACAGAGGTTGCCTCTGGCCCCAGGCCTCCGCCAGGGCAGGCTTGGCCAGCTTCGTGGCCTCTGCTTCAGGCTTGATTCTCTTGCTCTCAGCTCTGAGTGGGGCAGGGAGGTGTGGGAGGGCTGCGGAGAGGAGGGGGGCCGCTGGCTGCCAGCCGGACTCACCACCCACAACACACGCCCTCCCTCCACCCATACAAAAACACACCAACACTTAGAACCAAATGCCGTTTGGGGCGCCTGGGTGGCTCTGTCCGTTAAGCCTCTGATTCTGGATTTCGGCTTGGGTCATGATCTCACGGTTCGTGAGCTCGAGCGCCGCATAGGGCTCTGCTGAGAGCAGGGAGTCTGCTTGGGATTCTCTCTCTCCCTCTCTCTCTGCCCCTCCCCTGCTCATGTGCATGCTCTCTCTCTCTCTCTTCCTCTTTCTCTCTCTCTGTCAAAATAAATAAACACTAAAACAATAACAACGACAAATGCAGTGTGAGAGCAGCACATCGGTTTATTGGCTTAAGGGCATCAGACTCACCCGAAAGCTAAGGAGGAAACACAGACCCGGGTCTCATGAAGTAGGATATGGCCTGGGCCTCTGCTTTTTCACCACTGCCAAGTGTGAGGTATACAGTGATTCCCTTGACATGTATGGAGTGCCTACTGCATGCCACGCTCACACATGGGATCTCGTTCAGCCCACTTACAGCCTGGTGAAGTGAGTCTTGTTATTCCCATTCGACAGATGGAGAAAGTGAGGTTCAGACAGGCTTAGTGATTCAGTAAAGCCTCACAGAGTGACGGGGATCATTTAGGGGGATCTTGGCAGGCCTGCTTTGTTTCCTCCCGGACTGTGAGGAGGCAGAGGGGGCTGGTGGCAGAAAAGAGGAATGAGATTTCCAGAGGGGGTAAAGAAGGCCCCGTGAACACCTCTGAGGCGGGCCCAGGGGGCTGCAGGCTTGCTGAGGAGCCTGGGAAACCAGGACCCCGTCTGGTGCCAGTGTCTTTGGACGGTTTCTTGTCAGAACCTGGACCCCGTGGTGGACTTGTGGATTTGAAACAGGCACAAAACACACCATCTCCTTTCTGCCCTCAGACCTGGAAGATGTCAAGTTCCAGGAGTCCTCGCCTGCAGAAGAGACACCTGTGGGATCCTCAGACACGCCCTCCCAGACCAGAAGTCACCAGCCAGAGGGGGGACCTCAGGCAGACGGAGTGTTCGAATCTAGTTAGTATACCACCCTGCTCTCTCCTGGGTCAGCAGGCCTAGGGCTTCTTTTTGCATGGGTCTGACAGGCTGAATTCCAGTAGAGACTGGGAAGGCTGGGGAGACACTGGCAGGGCAGGGAGGAGGCAGGGTTGGCCTTTCAACGGGGGCTCTTGGGGCAGAGTTGCAGATGGAGAGTTCTCTTCTCGTAGAGAACCCTGTCTGCTCGGTGGGATGTAACTTCGGTGGGCTTGCTTGAATGTTTCATATCCAATTCCTGCCTTGCCCTGGGTCTCATAACCAGTGGCGGACTGGCAAACAGGCTGAGGGTGGGTGTTGGGCGGGGGCAGGGGGGGAACCCTGATTTGTAGCGTTTGCAGATTGCTGTGATGTAAATATTCCCACCGTGGCTGATTTCAAGCTGCCAACAGTTGATCACAAAAGGTCCACAAATATCCTGAATGCTTGCGATTAGGTCTTGGTGCAGGCAGCCACGTGCGTGTGGCCCTTTACAGCCCGGACCGGTGGGTGTGTTCCTGTGGCATCTGTGGCTGTGGCGTGC